TAGGGATAGGGGATGATTGTTCTTGTTTAACGTGTATTTGTCGGGCTCAAGATTGTTTATGCTTATGTGAGTTGATTTAATTCAGAATTGATGAAATTATGCTTGATAGTTTGATGTAATCGAAGGGTGACACTTCGATCTTGCATTTGGTAACAATTGGATATTGAGTTGTTGAGTTTGGTTTTATTGATTTCAATGATTAGTTGATTAAACACCTTCTAATTAATTAGCGACTTTCTGAACCGAAAGGGGAGAAGTCGTAGACCTAGGCTCGCATGAGGTAGATAATTTCGTAACTGAATAATCTATGGGTTGAGATTGAAATACGTGTTTATCAATGACCAGTCCCTTGTTACGAAAAGTTATTGGGATTGGGATAATTGGCTTGTGTTGTATGCTCGATCTTGTTCGTCTATGTTCAATCCCTTGTTACGAAGAGTTATTGGGAGCGAACCTCTAGATGTTTAAGCGAGAGTGTCAATCTTGAACCGAACGATTAATTGCCCGACTTTGCTAGAACTTGAATTAATTATCCCCGATTCCCTAGCTTCTCCATCTTTGTTCCGTTTATATTTTTTTTTTTAGGTAGAATATTGTTTTGTTTCATTTTTAGTTAATAGCTCATCCAATCTGCTATCTGATTAGAGTGTTTAGGATCTATTTTCTTTTTACGTGTGATCGATTCCAAGCTGAATTCCGAACCGCCTTCCTCGTAAGATCGACCTGAAGTCGGGAGTCATCCCGTACTCAGTAAAAATAATAATTTGTGCTAGAACAGACCCTTTCTTCGTCCATGGGAAAATAGGACATGCCTCCGTCTTGGTGGACAGGGGCGTTCTTCTTCAAGGTTAATTGACCGACGTCCTGCCTCATCTTGGTCCGACGTTCGCCCTCAGCATCGGGTTCATCCCCGATCTTCCTCTTGGGCTTCCTCTTCTTTTTCCGAGTCGAGGACTTTTCAACAGCTTTTTTGGCCACCTCAGCTTCCTCCGAGCTTGATATGACGACATGGAGGTCGGGGTTGACTGCCTCAACATCTTTCTCCACTTCAATAGGAATAGTGGGAAGTGTAACCACCAGCTCGGTATTCTCCACTGGAACGGATGTCGGTACAAGCTCGGTAGCCGGAGCAGGCACAATGACGGTAACTGCTAGGCCCGACGTGGCCCCGGCACTGGTACCCCCTGAATCACGGTTGGCCGCTTTCTTCTTCAATCCCTCCAAAAAAAGCATGCGACCCATCTCGGTTTCCTTGGCAGGAAATTGACGTCGGTAGTCTTTGGCTTCCCTAACAGATTTAAACCCAAAAAAGCCGAGCAACGGATAGTAAACTGTGGCAGGAAAATTGTAAAAGGACCAACACAATCCCCAAAATAAATGAAGAAAGGAAATAGAAAATCCACTTAGTCGATCTAAAGAAAACTCACCGGGTTCGTTCTTCGCACCAAGTCCGGCGTCACCGAGTTTAGAATTCTTCACTATAGGCTCCACTTGCGCTCCGGGATGGTTAGCTTAGCGAGCGCGTCAAGTCTATCCCTGAAATCACCACCGAGCTTGGGCTCTTTCTTCCTCTTGGCTACAAATGCGAAAAGGTACGAATCGTTAGCGAAGGAAAAGAAACTCATCAGGAGATTCCGAGTATGAAAGAGAAACTTACGAAAGAAAGAAACAACTCGGGTTGGGACCGTCATCCCATCGATCGGCATTTCGAGGCGAAAGTCAGGGGACTGCCAGTCTCCACCAACCCATAACCATTCAATTTGGAAGCCATGAAGGGTTTCAGGAATTCCCGTGATCAGTTGCCCCATCTTCAAGTTGTCTTGTGGTTTCGCCGAGCAGAAGAAGCAACCAGTAGGCGGAACACCTTCATGTTCCCGACTTCTTTTAAAGAAAAATATGCTCCTGAACTCGTCAATCGTCGGGAATGCCCACTTCTTCTGCGCCAGGAGAACCATAATTCCGATGATCTTCTTCCAACTGTTAGGAGTGACTTGGCTGAGGCTAATACTCCAATCGCGCAGATAATCGGTGATCACGTTATCGAGTGGAAACCTCAGGCCCGACCTCAAACTCTCGACAAAAATCCCCACGCAACCGGGAGGGGGACAATGAATCCTTTCTCTCGAATAGGGGCAAAGATTCTGACCGAGGCGTGGATCTGGATTGACTCGCGCAACAGGACCACGTCAACATCGGTCATTGTGCTGGGTTCCCCTAAAAATAGGACGTCGGCGTCGGGCCAACGCCGAGCTGGACGACTCCAATATCCTGTCTTCATGGGAATGTCTCGCTCTACTTCGGCGTCCCCTTCGAAATTATTCCTTTCTAATCTCCAAACGTTCGACAAAAACAGGGTCCCACCGATAATACTCCCCCATTAATTCCTCGTCCTTCTCCTCGTCTGATATTGTCCTGCTGCTGCTCAGCTCCGTTTGCTCACCGCTCGCCGCCGCCATTATCACGACCAGAAAAGAACAAAATAGAAATAAGGAAAGTGAAGGATGAAATAAGGGCTTACCAAAAATTTGGGTGAACTCTCGTAGAGAAAATCACGAACTATCAAATAGAACGATGAAGAGAAATAGAAGACACAAATGGGAAGGCTAAAAGAAGATTTGAGAAATCGAAAGGAAAAGAATGTGTTTAGATGAAGACTTCGTAAAGTGAAACTGTGCTTGTATATATATGTGACATTTTCCGACCGTTGGGGATGGAGAGACGCGTGTAACCGTCACGTCTTTTGGAAGAAACACCTTTAATCTCGTCATAAAGGCTCGCGGCTTGATCTTAGACGTACACGTGTCCCGAAACAGTCAAAACGAGCAGCCGTTATCTTTAACACGTGTCCGTTGGGAAGAGTAGTGGAAAGGACACGTTCCTTGCACCTAGAAACCGCTTTGAAACCGTCTCACGGCCTCTTACACACTATCCGATTGAAGAGCACTTGATTTTCAATAAAGGAAATCACCTCAGGATACTCGGAAGGGTCACAGGAGGACTTAGGAAGTAGAGGTCGGTTAGAAGGATGTTGTCATTAAGAAGCACCACTATTCGTGTACTCCTTAATGCTAGGGGCCTCTATGTTGACATCAAAACTCAAAGGCTGCAAATTAATGACATCTCGAGAGGATTAAGTGAAGACGGTTAGGGTAAATAGTTAAAGGTCTGAACTGTGAAGAGCTGTTCTCGGAGTCATCTCGGTATCAGATCGACACCTCGGTACAAGGGACTCGCCCAAGGGTCGCGGAGTACCAAAATCCCGTGGGAAAGCCGAAGTCATGTAGACCCGACTTGTTGTCGACAAAAGGCGACGTCTGTCAATCAACTGATGCGGCTGCCCATACCCTCATCATTGCCTACATATCAGCTTACGTCATAGCCGCCCCTATGCCGTCAATCCGCATTAAATGCCGTCGCATCTCCTCAAAAGGCGTGCAGAATGTTACTATAAATAACTGCATTTAACTCGATACGAGGATTCTGATCCGACATATTAAATTCTAGCATTAAACACCTCGGTTCCTCACGAGACCGACCTCCTGTACTGCAAAATCGACTTCAAAAAACTTAATAAAAACCTTACTTTCTGCAACTTTTGTTAGTTCTTACACCTTAATTACGTTGTTAAATCCCGTTTATCAACAACACTTATTCACCAGCAGTATATTGACACGTGTCCTACAATAAATACAATTTAGACAGGTGTCAATATATTAAATGGTGGGTGAAGAAAAACCATCTAATGACTCGATAGAATTTTCGTATTTTACAAAACCACTAGTCCTTTTATAATAGAAGATATAGATAGATAGATAGATGTGGAAAGAAAAAATGTGCTTTAAATTATTAAAACAAAAACCGATTTTTGTCTTTAAGACGAGTTAAAAAAGTTGTTCTCTCTAACCGCAAAACAACCCATGGAAGTAAATCCCAGTGCTACTACCGTGCGCAAGGTGTGCCAGGGCAATTTAAAATGAACATGTGCAAACATGATTTGTACATATTCATTTTGTAACATACACATGTTTATTTTAAATTACTCATGACACACCTAACAAGGTGTGCCAGGGCGCACCTAAGTATTTGCGAGTAAATCCAACCGCGCCATAGCTTTACAATCCCTTTTGTGTTTTTCTTTAGATTAATTTATAAAGATCTCCTCTTATTTTGTTTCCTTTTGTTTTTGTTTTTGTATGTAGAGATTAATGCTTGCTTTTGCCAACCCATGTGACATGTCCAGTGAAGATGGGATGGACACCCTCCAACCATTTCTATGCTCTCGCCTTGCTAACTTTATCGTTTTCGCCGCTCTACTTCTCTCTGCACTTTGCTCAAATCCCATAAATGCCACGAATTATCTATATTATTTCACGAATAAGTGAGGAAAGGAAAATCAAAATCAATATTGAACCCTACTTTCCTTGTTTTCCACAACTGCCTTCCAAGTTTAAGAGCATCTAGAATCTTTAAAAAGGTTCTACCAAGAAAGAAGAAAACATTGTTGTTTTCCCTTTTTCAGCGAATCTCACCGCCAATTGCGTGTATCTCAGGCCGCACACATGTAAAGAAACGCATATGGTGGGGTTTCCTATTTATTTACTTCTTGACGAAGAAGAAATATTTGGAAATTTTCAACCCAAATTGTGAACAACATACTCACTGGGTTATCAAGAAAAAAGAGGCTTTCACTGATTTGGGCCCTTGCATCAATTTCTTTCTCCATCTTTTTCTTTTTTCTTTTTATGACCTTGAAAAATTAATCCAACCCACCCAGTTTTTCAGCTTTCAACTATTTGACTTCTTTTTGTTTGGAATAAATTGGTTCTCCTTTTTTCTTTTTTCTTTTTTCTTCTTTATGACCTTGAAAAATTTAATCCAAAACACCCAATTTTTCAACTTTCAACTTTTTCTTTTCGCCTGGAGTAAATTAGTGTAGACACAGAGCATGCGGCAATCCCATTAAAGATTTTCGATTTCTTGGGGAAAAAAAAGAAAAAAAAATGGGATCTTATAGTGGTTTGGGCATTGGATTAAGCGTTGTTTTCGGTTGCATCTTGATGGGTTTGGTCGCCGAGCTTTACTATTTACTATGGTGGAAAAAGAAGGTAGCCCACAACAGCACAAGCAGCAGCCCTGAAATTGGGGATCTGGAGTCGGGCCAGGACCCGGAAAAAGACGGCCCGAGCCCGATGGGTTACGGAGAGGAAGAGATTGTGACGGAGCTGATGCGGGCCCACAACCTATACGGGCCCCCGAGATTCCTTTTCACCATAAAGGAAGAGAGCAGGGAGGATTTGGAGTCTGAGAATGGGAAATCGTGGAGAAAAGGGTCGAGAACGACGAGCCTTAACGACCTCTTGCTTTCGTCGCCTACAGCCAAGGGCCTATACGGAAATCCCCTGTTCGAGTGCCTCTCAGAGGCGGAGCTCAACAAGCTCAGATCATCGCCGCCGCCCAAGTTCAAGTTCCTCAAGGACGCCGAGGATAAGCTCTTGAGGAAGATGTTGGCCGAGGATAACCAGACACGAAAACAATGATGATGCTTTTTTGTCCTCCTTTTAGTTTTAGGTTGTTAATTAATTGCTTATTTGTGATTTTGTTTTTCATTTCATTTTTTTTTTTTCTTTTTTATGCGGATTTGAATAGGAGGTTATAGTTAGATCTGTAATTTAAAGTGTAGGCATATCTGGTAGCTTTTGCAGCAATGTTAGGAAACGGAATTCTTTGCGAAACGCTTGTTTTGGGGAATTTAATTTGGAAATTCATTTTGGGTAAGATGTGTATATACTCTATGTCAATCATTATTGATTTTGATTTTGAAATTTTCATTTTTGTTAGACATGGTTTCTTGCTCAACGAGAAACAATGAAAGTTGTGGATGAAAGATAAGATTTGGATATAAAACGGAAATGTGTGTGATTATCAAAATTCATTTTCTCTAAAAATAATTATAGTAATTATAATTATTGGGTGAAAACAATGCTCTAGTCATCTATTAATACTACAATTTTTTTTTTTTTAAAAAAAAATCATCACTTATTATATGTATATATTTTAACAATACTTACTACTTATTCACATACCGTATATGTTTTCAATTGTTGATCAGTTTTATATGACAGTTGTTTCACCACTTCCGTTTTTATTTATATCAAATGACACTTAAACAGAAATCATTTTCTAAAAAGAAAGTACTTGTATGAAACAAAGTTCTCATATACAAGCACAACTTTCGTTTTCCTTGTTTTTAAAGTAGAATTGACATATTTGATATAATGAATGATACAATGAACTTTCATCACTTCCTTTTTATTTTATTTTTTGAATGTTCGCCACTCTTATAACGCAAACTCCGAATTAATTTCTATGGGTGAGCATGAGTCAGTACGACTCGGAGATGAACAAATCTTCGGAATCGTACCAAAATTTGGAGATTACTAAATTTGATCTCTGGAACCGTACTAAAAAACTGGGATGGTTTGATTCGGAGATTTTTATTTTTCGATTCGATTCGATTTGATATTCGGGACTATCGGAACGATTCGATTCGATTTGGTTCGGCTCGAATCTCGAGAGATTCCTAATTATTTTTTATTTTCTTTGAATGACTACCTAGTTATATTTTAATTTTTATATGGTTAGAAAAAATACAACATTCATCAATACTTCATCATATTACAGATTTTAAATAATATTTTTAAAACAAGAAAAATTCAATTGTAAATCAAGTATTACTAAGATGCACATTATCCCAGAGTTCACATCTCATATTTCGAAATATAAATCCCATAATTCACAAACCACAATTCCATACGACATATTTTATATTTAGTTGTGAATTTTTCATCAATACATGTGTAATACCAAAAAACATTGAACTTTTGCCGTCTTCGAGCAGTGAGTGTCGACGTGTCATAGTATTATTAGTAAACTGATAGATATAAAAGTAAAAAATATCTATCAATTTATTTTTATTTGAAAATATATCATCTTTAAATAAACATTTCTCTCCAAATTTTGTGAAAGATTTTCTTCATAAAGGCTAGTTTCCAAACATTCTAAATTTGAAGTTGATTTATAATTAATGATTTTTTTAACAAAATTTGTGATAGGAAAAATATATTAATTTAATTTCTTTTCAAACTAATGTCTCGCATGCAGTAAGAAAATAAAATAAATATTTTTTCAATCATTTAATTATATTAACATTCAATAGTGGAGGAGCTTTGAAATTCAATTTTAAATATAATATATGATAGTTTACGAACATAGACCTAATGTAAATGGATTTTATTTGCAACTCAACTTTAAATACAAATATGTACAAAGATGAGAAGAAAGCAAAAGATGAAATATTATATTTATATGAATTTTTTGAATTAAAATCGATTCTTGTTCGGTTCTCGATTCAGTATGGTTCTTTTTTTGTTCGGTTCTCGGTTTGGATATTTTATGAATCTCCAGAACTGTACCAAATATTTTTTCGGTATGGTTCGGTTCAGATAAAGTCAAATGGTCAATTAATATTTTTTGGTTCTAGGTGAATTCGTTTCTATTTTCGAAACGGTTCGGTAATCTCTGAGTCCCGTGCTCAGCCTTATTAATTTCTTTAGGCGCGCATGACAATTGGGAACCATCATTTATCTTAAACCACCGTCTTGTGAATGTGGTGCTAAGTAGATTAAAGCTCTCTCTCCCAAAAACCTTTTCGCCCTGAGCCCCTTTAGGAAAAACAAGGTAATTCTCGCCGTCTAGCAATGGCCCCTTCTAACTTGGTTGGCCGGCGTTGCGGCTTTTAAGCCGGATATGCCGATTCGGAGGCTAGAGGCTGCTCCTCTGCCACTTCTGAAGCATTACGAAGACTCAAATTTGTTCTCACCATTTCGCTGTCTCCCCGACACTGGTGATAGTCATCGGTCGTCTCGTCTTCTCTCCAGCCTCGGGAGCCAATCGGTCCGCTGGAGCCTTGATCGTGTGTTGCGCCCTTTAAGTGAACAACGCCGAGCTCCGCGAACTTATGTTGTCACAACAGGCTTGCGACCTTTAATCGACCAACGCCGAGCTCTGCAAGCATGCGTTGTGACAACAGGCTTGCGCCCTTAATCAACCAACACCGAGCTCCACGAGCTTGCGTTGTCACAACAGGCTTGCGCCCTTTAATCGACCAACGCCGAGCTCCGCGAGCTTGCAAGGTTGAAAACAGGCTTTCGCCCTAAACTGACATGTTTCCAGAAATTGCAGATGAAAACAAATCGAGTTGATGGCATTAATCCAATTATAAGCACTAAACGATATCCAAGAACAAGCGAAAAATAGCTATAACCAAACAAGCAATAGTCTCCTAAGCTAAGCATAATACTTCTTTAAGTGCAATACTTTCCAAGGTCGGGGCAATAGTCGCCTCTCAGCATTACGCAACTCGTATGCAGCCCCCATTAAGACCCTCTCAAGTATGTACGGTCCATCCCAGTTGGGTTCCAACTTCCCAACGTGTTTTAGATCATCGGCCTGATGCCAAACCAGATCTCCCACCTGAAAACTCATAGCTCATAATGAGTTGTCATGGGCCGCCCTCATTCTTTGCTGGTAAGCCTCCGTCCACAATGTTGCCTGATCGCGCAGCTCGTCCACCAAGTCAAGTTCCTCGCTTCGCAGCTTTGCATTTTCCTCTTCTACATATGTGTTGACTCTCTCCGAGCTAAGGTCGACCTTAACCGGCTTTGCATTTTCCTCTTCTACGTATGACTGAATCGAGCTCATCGATTCAAGACCGAGGCTCTTTCCAGCCTAGATTTTAACCCACTTATAATCGACCTATTTTCCACCTCCGCTTGCCCATTGACTTGTGATTGAGCTACTGATGCAAACTGCTGCTTGATTTTCATGTCCTCGCACCAACTCATTATTCGCCGACCTCTAAACTGGGTTTCATTATCGGATATGAATATCTGCAGAATGCCATATCGACAACAGATGATGACAAAGAGGAACCTAATCATCTTATCTTCAATAATTTTAGCCAATGGTTCAGCCTCTATCCACTTGGTAAGATAATCCCCAGCCACTATTCAAAACTTATGCTTCCCTGTTGCCTGAGCAAGGGAACCTACTATATAAATTCCCCATTGAGAAAAAGTCAAGGGTGAACTTATTGCGACCATGTTCTCCGCTGCCCGATTAATTAGCGGACCATGCTGCTGACAGCTTTTGCACTTCCGCACGAGATCCTGCGCCATTGCCCTCATCGAGGGCCAGAAGTATCCAGCTCGGAGCACCTTCCCAACCAATGACCTAGCCTTCATATGATTGCCGTAACATCCCTCATGGCCTTCCCTCAACATATATTCCCATTCCTGTCAGAAACACACCTTAGGTGCGATCCTATGTACGATCACTTATACAATACTTCGTTTTGAAAATAAAACCATAAAGCTCTTCTGGCAGTCTGATCGTTCCTAATATCCTTTGCCTCTATAGGTCCCCGCAACCACTTTATCAGAAGCGATCTCCATTCCACTCTTCAACCTCCAAAACCTGATCCAAGGTACTTGTCGTTATTTTCAACAAGGTAACAAACCGCGACTTGCAAATCCACAAGTGTCGCAGCAATCTTAGATAAGAGGTCGGCCCTGCAATTTTCTGCACGGGGTATCTGTATCAACTCTCAAATTATGAGGCCCTTTAACAACGAACGAACCTCAGATACATACTTTCTCATATGATCTTCTTTAGCTTCGTAATCCTCTTTAACCTGCTCCACCACCAACTGTGAGTCTGAATGTAGAATCACCCGACGAGCTCCCTCCTTAAGGACGAGCTGAATTCCCTGCACGAGAGCTTCATACTTGGCCTCATTGTTTGACATCCAGAAAGTTAACTTCACTGCAAATTCCAAATGGTCCCCCTCAGGTGTGACGACTAGGATGCCCAACTCAGTGCCCCCTATCGTCGAAGACCCGTCAGTGTACACCATCCAGCACCCTTCCTCCTTGCCAATAGTGCACTCGTATATAAAATCATCCAAGGTCTGAGCCTTTATAGCTCGTCTTGCTTCAAACTCGACATTAGATTCACCGAGCTCAACTATCCACTGCACCATCTTTTCTGAGGTCAAAGGGCGGCCTAAAGTGTCTTTGAGCGGGTAGTTAGTTCGTACCACGATCTTATGTGCCAAGAAATAACCTCGCAACTTCCGAGATGTAGAAATAAGTGCCAGTGCAGCCTTCTCCACCTCTGAGTACCGGCGCTCGCCGCCTTGCAGTATCCGGCTGGCATAATATATCGAATTTTGCTGGCCACACTCCTCCTTTATCAATACCGAACTAATGGCCTCTTGTCCCACCGACAGGTACATAACCAACATGTCTCCAGATTTAGGCTTCGTAAGTAGAGGTAGCTCGTCAAGAAACTCCTTCAACCTTTCAAACGCATGTTGCGCTTGTTGTGTCCACTCGATACGAGATCCCTTCTTCAAGGCGTGAAAGAATGGAAAGCTTTTTTTGTACCTCATGAGCTATAAACCTACTCAAACCAGGCA